ATTTCCCACCCTAAGGGGCTGACCAGATAGCTCAGTGGAGTAAAAAGCCTGCTTAGGCAGATGAAGGGACCAGGATTAGATCCCCAGCATGCTGTGCGCCCCACCTCCCCCACACCACATTGAGAAATCAAATGAGACTAGGTGTGGTGGCGTGCACCTGTAATCCCAGCACTTGGGAGGCTGAAAACAGGAGAATCACTACAAGTCCAATCTGTGTAGTGAGACCCTGTAGACCCTCTACTAAATACATAAGAAAATGTATTTTCCTGCTTTAAATTCAAAGAAACTAGAAAACTGATCCTCTTGTTCTCTAAATTTAACAGATAAAATATAGCTGATTAGGGCCAGGGAGATGGCTCAGTGGAATAAGCACTTCCCTGGCAAGTGCAAGGGCCTGAGTTCAATCCCCAGTTCCGGGAAGGGGAAAAAAAAAAGCTGATTTCTCAAAATGTTCAAATTGCATTTTGTCATGGCCAATTCCTTTTTTAAAAAACATTTATTTGTTTTTATTTTTTTGCAGTATCAGGGATCAAACTCAGGACCTTGCACTTGCCAGACAGGCACTTCAGCTGCTGAGCTATCTCCCCCGCTGTCTCATGGCAAATTCTATAAATGTATGCCACATTAATTATTTTTATAAGTATGTAGAATATAAATTATTAATGGGAATAGCCAAGCTTAGAATACCATCCATGTAGCTAGCCAAGATGTCTTATTAATTTCCACCAGTTTACTTACCCAAATGCAACGCTTCCTGGTACCTCTTGGTATCAAAGTACAAAGACACCAGTCTTGCCTAGGAAAGAGAAAAGGCATTGACTGAAGGGAAAGAGGAAAAAAAAAAAAAAAAAAAAAAACACACAGAAAGAAATCAAAGATTGACAGTCACAGAACTGTTACTGTTGAATATACATGTTTGACGATAGCATCAAATTCAGCATTAACAAATGATCTAGCCCTTGGTACGGTCTCCAGTTATGGTCAGTGGCTAACTGTTAACTTTACTATGCCGCTGCTTATTTTTCTGAGCCAAATAGCAAGTCTCTCTGAAAGCTTTAACCAGAGCAATCCTAGTAAATGGGACCACTATCAATTATCTCTTGGTGACCTCGTAATACCAAGTCACTTGATCAGGATAGTATCACTTCTATTCACAGTCTAATATCTGGAGACATAAAATCAGTGCTATTGTGGCCCACCTACCTCCAAAGCTTGGCGTAAGAAAGTTCTTTTCTCTGATTTGGCCCATTCGATGCATTCTAAACACAGCTCGACCTGCAACAGGGAAAGACAGCTCATGCAAGATTGTGTCCTCACATTCTGCCCACAACCATGCTTTGGAGAACAGAACAAATATAATTCCCCCCTTAAGTAATCCCCATGGCACTCTCTTTAGTGTCTGATACATAGACTCTCAATGTGTAATGGTGATACCATAATAGAGAACTAAGTTGGCTTTTTACACATAACATCTCTTTTAGAAAAGAGATGGGGCTGGGGAGATAACTCTCCAAAACACAAATAGCCCTGGGCTGTGTATTTATATGAGGGCACAGGAATTTTTAAAGCATGAATTTCTCCCTGGATACGTAGAAGTAGCAATGTTAATGTGTTGTGAATATCCTGGTAATAAAGAGGAGAAACCCTCAATCTAAGCAGAAATACCTTGTTTCTAAATTGTTCATAAGACTCAAAAGATCTAGCTGGCTCTTTCCAAATTGATCATCACTCCAAAAACAAACAAATATGGTAAACTTAGCTGGTATTACAGGGAATAAAAATAAATTACAGTTAGCCAACACCAAAAAGGGCTTCTAAGCTTTATAGAATGCAGAACACCTAGTTCTATCTGCCACCCAAGCAGTGATATAAGGTAAAGTAAATGATAAAAATCAGTGCTCTGTGCTAGACAGTGGTGTATTACTAGCTCCAATCCAGTACATATTCAGTACTACAGATTCTTCTATTACTTGGAGTTTCATGTTAAAGTTAGTAATCTCGGGGCCGGGGAGATGGCTCAGGAGAATAAGTGCTTCCCTGGCAAGCACAAGGGCCTGAGTTCAATCCCCGGTTACATCAAAAAAAAAAAAAAAAAGTTAGTAATCTGAGCATAAGACAAAAAGAAATGAAATGAGAAACTGAACCCTCCAGAGAACTAACTGCTAACACTACAGAATTTTATGTAAATCAAAATCTCTGTTAAGAGATGCTGTAATGAAGGAAAACTAAAGGGACATATCTGAACTGATAAGCTCTTCCATCTTTAGATCTTAAATTCAAGTTCATTAAATAAATTAATGGATGCCAGTTCTTAATAGTTGGGTGATTCACCTCAAAGAATGAAGGAAACCTTTACAACTCTTCATTGGAGCCACCTGGTGGCCACCTAGTCTCCAAATCCAAACTCAACTGACCTCAAAATTCTACAAGTGCTGGGCGTGGTGGCTTATGTCTATAATCCCAGCACTTGGGACGTTGAGGTAGAAGGATTGTTGTGAGACCAGCCTGGGCTACAAAGGGAGTTCAAGGCCAGCCTGAACTGCACAGTGAAACCCTGTCTCAAAAAGAAAAAAAAAAAAAAAAAAAAAAATTTCTACAAGGGCTGGGCGTGGCAGTATCCACCTTCAATCCTGGCACTTGGGAGGCTGATACCTACACAAGGTCAGCATTAAGGTCAGCCTGGCCACATAGTGAGGACACTACCTAAAAAAAAAAAAAAAAAAAAAAATCTGCAAAAGATCTGTTCACGATGAGCTGAACTGAAAATGGTCTGCTAATGTTTTTACATAAGAAAATACAGGGCTGGAGAGATGGCTCAGTGGATAAGTGCTTCCCTGGCAAGCACAAGGGCCTGAGTTCAATCCCTGTTCCCATCAGGGGCCGAGGAGATACCTTAGTAGAATAAGTGCTTGCCTGACAAGTGTAAGGTCCTGAGTTCAATCATCCCCAGTACCACACAGACACACACACAACTCAAGCATGCTTAAAAAAAAATGCCCATCAAAATTTTACCCAGGGGGCTTTCTCAAATAATACAAAAATGAATGGAACATGGTATTCTTTGTACTGTTACATTATAACAAATGCTCTAAAAACCTCTAATGAAGAAGTATCAAATTCTACTCTAGCATCTCACCTTCATTTTTACCTCTAAGCAACCTTAAGTTAAGGTCAGGGAATACATTCCTCCTAGTGTAAATTTTATCTTTATTTCTGTTTTTGTTTTACAAATGAACTTGATATTTGTTTTCTAGAGAAACACAATTTGCATTAACTAAGATTGAAAACAGTGAAACTTGGGGGCCAAGGAGATGGCTCAGTAGA